AGGGTGAGCCCCACAGGTTAATACATGGACCAGAGTGATGCATGTTAAAACTTCATTGAACAACTAATCATGTGGCCAACATGCCCAATAACATGGGCGTGTGTGTGTTCAAATTTCATTGGATAAATTTGAAACTTTGAGGGTTCTAGAATATCGGACCTGATCAGAGCCTTATTATCATAGTCTCATTTTGGAAAACTGAATAAAAAAGATGAAGAGGTTGTTCCACTGCTTAATGTAAGAGACAAGTTTGGGATAGGTACTCTTAATTCTGCTAAACCACACAACAGCCATTAGCCAATTAATCTTTCATTTCCTCCCACAGGATGACCCAGAATGCAACCTGGATTAAGGTTAAACAGACTACACTTCATCAGCTTGCCATTTTTTACTCTTTCTTTTTTTCTGGAACTAACCTTCTCCTCCCATGAGTCCTCTTCTTCCTTCCATTCGATTTTTAGAAAACTTTCCTCACACGTTTCTTTTGTATAGATGTCGTGACATTTTGCCCATGTCGTTAATTCCTTCATCTGGATGACTGCTTGGACGAGGTTTTTGTATTATTTTTGGCTTTGGCCTCCATTTCCTGCCAGTGAGTGACAGCAGAGATTGCCTCCCAAAGTGCACCATGGTGCTGATAAGAGGAGCTGGCAAAGGGCGAGATGAAGCCGCAGGAGAGGTGGAGTTGGACAAGCTCAGGGGAATCCAGCTACCTCCATGGCAGGATTCTGATATCTAGGAGGCGAGCTCGGGATTAATTCTCAGCATCCATTCATCATGAGGAAAGCACTTGACAGCTGAGGACTCAGGATGGCTGCCTTGCCTAATAATGGCATCGGACTAGGAGGTAACACATGTAAATTGACTCTGCTCACTCTCCATTATCTGATGGGAGCCTCAACAGCAATGGTCAGGATGTCTGAAGTGCCTGATGTTAATTTTAGGTCCAAGAATGCGAAGACTATTTCTAAGTGGTCTGAACAGGAAGAGCATCACCCACACTAGAGACCTCTTCTGCCACCGTATGAGAACTTGGCTTTGAGGGTACATGACATCATACTGACTGTGAGTTGTTAACCCTGGGTAGGTTTGCTCTTCTGGCAATCTGCTGCATGTCAATCGAGCATGCCAATGATCATGAAGATGAGGCAGGACCAGGCAATGTTTTGTTCTGTCGTACACGGGTCACCATGAGCTGGAGCTGATTGCATGGCAGCTAACAACATTTACCCATTTTTTTGGTCTTATGTAAGCATTTTTATAAATGGAGATATAGCAGCTGGTATACATTTAACAGGAGTCCTGGTGGCACAGTGGTTAAGAGCTCATCTGCTAACCAAAAAGTTGGCAGTTCGAATCCACCAGCCACTCCTTGGGAACCCATGGGCAGTTCTACTCTGTCCTATAGGGTTGCTATGACTTGGAATTGACTTGATGGCTATGGGTTTGGTTTTTGTTATGCATTTAACAAATAGGCCCAAAGAGTCACTGTCTTCTGAAAGCAAAAAAGCAGAAAGGCCAAAAAAAAAAAAAAAGTAAGGTGTCTATATAACTGTGCAGCTCTAGATGTGTTGTAAGGGGGGGCTAACAAGGCAATGCAGCCATCTGCTGGGCCAGAGGGATGGAGGAGGAATTTTCTAAGTGGGAAAGAGGAAATGGAGTATGCAACTGCTGCTACTGCTAAATGGGCCCCCTAATTTCTCTATCCATAATGGTAACGACTTGCTTTATATGGTGCCTTTCATCAGCTCTGATCCCAGAGTGCTCAAAGCCCTCTCTTGACTCAGCTCCTAAATCTAGTCCTCAACAGACTAGAGGATGACATCTATATTTGTGCTATATCTATTTAGAGAAGAATAGGACACTCAGATGCTAAGGGAATGAATCCAGAGTAGAGAAGGAGAAGGTCAAGGGAGAGAAGGTTATGGGAAGGGAAGATGCTTATTTCCAATCATGACCCTCAGAATCATCTAGCTGGAATAGACACCTCCACTCAGATAAAGTCCCCGAAAGATTGTGGTGCTTCTGGTAACCACATCCCATCTGCCTCCCATATTTTATGGACTTGGCACTCTCTAAAGCATACCACATTAAGGGGAACGCTCCTCAGGGAATCTTGACAAACTCTGACATTGGGTTCCAATTGCTGCTAAAGGCATTATTTCCTTCATGCTTTGGGGTTCAGAAATACAGAGGGGACATCTGGGGATATAAACAAGGAGAGGCCAAGGCTTGGAAGGAGAGGAAGGACATAGAATCTGGTCTGTTCCAGTAAGATATTCAACAAGATGTGCAGGGACATTGGGCATCACTCATATATAAATAGAAGCCACCAACAATTATGATTCATTAAAGTGTTGGGTAGAAAAACTTACATAATACCAAGATAGGCACAAAGCAGTGGCAAAAATCCTGAGGGAGATAGATTTCAGTAAGGACAGAAGTGAAAGCTCTACCCATGTAGACATCCAGGCTGCTATTTAGAAAAGGTTAGGCCATAAGAACTTCCTCACTGGTTGAGGGTTGAGTAAGGAGATGCCTTCTTTCCTTAATTACTCTCTTCTGCAATCATCACATAATCATGGTGCTGCAGACGCCGTAGGGTAAGGCATGTTATCAGAGGATTGATGTGATTCTGACAGGAAGGGTGGTGGTGGAACAGAGAAGCACTGGGCTGGGGACCAGGTCCTGCCTTCTAGACTTGGCCTCAACTAGCGGGGTGATGTGCGGTCTAGCTATAATGCACTGGGAAAAGCTCTGGGCTTAGATTTAAAAGTGTTGGTTTTCTGAATCTAGGCAGGTCTCTTGATCTCTTTTAGCCTCAGTGTCCTGATCTGTAAAATAGGAATGGAAATATCTGTCTTCTTGGATTGCAGAAAGGGTGTTATGCAGAAATATCTGTGAAATGGTTTTAACAACTGAAACACATTATATACAAAACAAGCAGAAGGTCTGGCCCCATCCTTTGAGTACCAGATGGGCTAAGGCCACACAGAGAGTTTATAATAGAATTGGGCCTCATACTCAGTCCTTCAGGCTGAACCCAGCTTTTTTTCCTTCAGGACACTGTCATAATGCCTACTTTTTCCCACGTCATGGGGCTGAAGGTCAAGTGAGGAGACGAGAGGGAGATGATTTTGAATAAAGTGATGGCCACCTTGTAGATGCTAACACAAGGAAAGTTCTATGGCCAGAGCATGGGCACCCTCAGAGACACATACACTGACCAGACAGGATCCCTAGCTGTGAAACATCGTGAAGTCAACCAGCACTCAGCAATACAGTCCAGCCATGGAAAAGTTCCAGAAAGATGCCAAGAAACCTAATGCACAACAACAGCTTGTTTCAGCTTCTGAGATCTTGCTTCTCAGATCTGTTAAGTTCGGTTCTTGCTTGTAGATTTTGAACAATAATATACCACCATTATTTTCTATCTAGATAATGCTGAGAAAGTACAAAAATAAGAACACCCTTTGTCCATGGCTATTACAGGTCCCATGGATCAGCACTATCATGCTAAATGAGAAATCAACAGTATTTCTGTAAAGCTTCACCTAGTGCCTCCTGTCCAGGTGGGCTTAACCTGGGCTTTGCACGAACCCAAGTGCCTTCAACAAAGTCTGACAACAAGAAACAGGAAACCCAGATAAGCACATCCACTTTGGGCATATGTAGGACACATGACTGCTAACTGGTCTCTTCATGAACCCAGGAGACCATCCACCAGTACAACTCACGGGCTAGTTGCAATCTGTAAGTGGCTTCGAACTCATAACCATATTTCTTCCTGAAATCCTTTGAACTAGAACATGTCTCTAATTCATGAAGAGACTGTTTTCACCTCCACTAATTATGGAGTTCCCAGGGAGGGAGAGGACAATAGAGGGTACACATCATAAGCAGAGGGGAAACACTATACCGGAACCTTAAACATGGATGACTATCTTTTAACACTGGACTTTGGTCAGAGGGTTTAGTACTATTTGGGGTCAGGGGGAGCAGGGAGAAATTCTAGGAGTTTTCCAACAACTCAGAATGGGGTTTCTAGTATTTTTCCAGTAAATAAGTGTCCTGTTCTTCGGCAGGAGTTTTATCATCTATATATGTGTGGACTGTGACACAAGGGATATATAAGTATGAGGCTCCCATGGCAGGGAAGGGTTTGTGTGGGTGGGAAGGCTAGCAAGGAAATTTTGCTGGCAACTGACAAGGAATGGGGTCTTTCTAGCAGCAACCAACACTTCATTTTAGAGATTGGTGGCAAAATCTCATTACCAGTGGACATGCCAAGGGACCTAGCAGCGAGGTCTGGTGGAGACAGGAGGCATGCTGACAGCTTCCAGCCAGGCTCCTTCCCCATAGCCCAGGGAAATGATGAGCACCTGAATGTAGTCAGGGCTTCACTTTGGTGGCCTGTCCAGGCCAATTTGCCAAATACCCATGGACAAAGAGAGGACAAGGTGGCCTGAAGCTTGGCTCTTTGATCAGTTAGAGTTCAGGAATCACTGCTCATTACCTTCCAACGCCCCTGCTGTACACTCCTCACCTAGTATGTGTGACTTCGGGCGACAGCATGTCAGATAAGCCAGATATTCATTCCCTCCCAGCTTTGGCCTTCCTAGAATCTTACTGATATTCCTAGTGGGTTTTCTTGGAGGCTTTACCCAGCTTGCAAACTGCATCATCAAATCAAACAAAGAACTAAGAATAGCATCTTTAATAAAAGAATAAATGTAGTGAGTATGGCTGTAGTCTGGCAGCTACTGGGGCTGCCTGTGAGTCCACAGTTTCACAGGCTATGGCTCCAGAAGAGAAGAAAGACAGTAAATACCAAGGAAACAATCAGTGCAATGCGCAGCAAACACAAATGTGCAAGGAGGCCCATTTTCATTTGACCCCCACCTCTTTGTAAACTAGTGGATGCAATTTGGCCTCTGAGGTGTAAAGCTCAACAATTAAATGGCAAGACAGTCCAAGTCTGAAGAGAAACGAGGCCTTACCTGGAGACACAGAGGACTCGTAAGAACTTCTCTCCTTGCGGTTCATCTTAAAGGCTTGGAGGTCCTTTTCCCTGTACGTCCCAAAGCCTTCATAACTCCTCCTTTTACTCCCACTCATGTCACTGTCCCACACGTCACTCGAAGGGTTCATTTCACTGAACATGTCCAGGCTCTCGGATCTTGTGCTGCCACCATCCCCGCTGCCACCAGAGTAACGCTTTGTGCATGAGTCTGCAGGCTCACTGCTCAAGTCACCTTTGTCCTTGGCCTGCGTCCAATGCTGGACATCAGAGAGAGACAGTGTAGACAGGGTGTCCACCTCAAAGTTGTTTTTAGAAGCTTTGTGGCTGGCTTCACTGTGCTGGTGCTTCTGCTTCTCCTTATGCTTGTTCTTCTCGCTCACCAGTGGGAGCTCTTTGTCTGCACTACTCAGTCGCTCGCTCAGGATATGGCTGGAGAAGCCTGTGGCTTTGCCTGCAAAGAGACCGCTCAGGTTGTCATGGGGCCCCAGGATTCGGTCCTCCTTGTGCTTATGCTTGTGTTTGTGTTTCCTCTTATGGAGCCGGCCACTGGACAGACTGGCACTGCCTACCTTGGGAGGATTCAGGGATGTTTGCATGTCACCAAGGCCCATGCCAACAGGTCCCTGAAGGTGCACTCCATGCTTTGCTTTATGCTTAGCTGCCCCAGACATCTTCATGTGGGAGCCTGCGTGGAACTGAGGTGGTGGCACTGTTGGCCTCATGAATGGGGAAGCCGCTCCCAGCGTGTGCGATAGGTACAAAGGAGCTGGGTACTGACCGTAGTAACCAAGGTTCATCATAGGCATTGATGTGTAAGGCATTCCATAGGGTGCATAGTAACTTCCACTGGGAATAGGGTAGCTGAACCCTTGTAAAAAAGGCACCTTTGTCATGGTGTCATTGGTTTTTGCAGGTCTACCACGCTTCTTCTTTGACTTCAAGTCTGAAGTCCTACGAAGATAGAGCAACGGGTCATACTGGATATATGGCACCGGGTAATAGTGATCAAAGTTAATCCGAAAAATGCTGGGGTATGGGTTCTCATGGTAAAAGGTGTAGCTCCGGTGGGAGATCCTGAACACCTGGAACTTGGTGATGAGCTCTTCCAGGTCAGCCAGAAACTGGAGATCATCGCGGTTTTGCAGGCTTTTCCGTTTCCTCTTGTGCTTTGGCTTCTTGAGGCTTTCGTGGGCAAGAAAGTTGTCCACAATGAGATGCTTCTGCCGGTGGCCATGCCGGTTCTTTGTGCTGGTGTCAGACGGAATGGCCTCTGGGTTGTCCAGGGAGCAGAAATCAAAAGAGTACCTCCGTCGGGATTCTGAACTCTTCTCCGCTTGGTCAGATGTGCTGTTGTTGTCTGTCCCAATGCCACTGTCGCTTGGGATTGTCTCCTCACTGTGTGACTCGCTCACAGGGGACAGTGTTATTTCCTTTAGGGACCCAATCTCGCAAAGGTGTGAAGGTGAGTTGGCCATCAGCCTGGGTGGAGACAGCTTCCAGGTTCCACTATGTATTCCCTTTTGGGTTTTGGTTGGAAGAGCACTGATGGGCTGGAGATTTGGCATAGTTTTCAACTCAGAAAAATTGGTTTCAGTGCTGGCGGGGCTCAAGTTGCCATTTGACCCACCTAACTGGGTTGAAAGTGGGTGCATAGCTGCTGGTGAAGACGCCACAAGTGACTGAAAGTTGGAAGGCACGGCTGGAACATCCGGCTGGCTAGAAACAGGCCTTGGGTGCTTGATGGCTGTTTTGGGTTCTTCAGATGGGGGTGGCAGCTCTGCTCTTGGCTTCCTGCCCCTCTTCTTGCCAATGTAGATGGTTCCCCTCTTGCTCACATTAATCTGCTTTCCCAGTTTGCTCTCAATTGCAGCCGCCCCAGGGCTGGTCTCAGGGGGAGCTTTAGCCTTCAGAGCAATGTTGCTGGAGCAGGACAAGATCTGGTTCAAGATATTTTTTCTCTTGAGTGTCTTCATCTTATTGATAGTTTTGATGGTCTTCTTATCCAACACACCAAGCTTTCCAACCTTTTTGTGAAATTTCATCTCACTCATGGGTTTGTCCTCTCCTGGCACTAGCTGGGCCAACTTAGCTAAATTGCGTCGTCTCTTTCTCTTCTTGGTGCCGGGAAACTCCCGGCTGATTGGACTGACTGGGCTGGTGGAAGTACCCTCATGAATTGTCTCAACAGTGAGCAAAGGCTGCTTCTTTGGTCGTCCCCGTTTCTTTTTGACTGGTGTGATCACAGTAAGACTGTCTGTGTTGGTGTACAGAGGGCTGGATGGGGTGATGGGATAAGCAGATGGGGGTTCCACCATCAGTTTGTCAGAGGTGGCCATGACTGCCTCCCGAAGCATACTGGTGGATTTGGGTTTGCTGCATGTCCACCTTCGTTTTGCAGCAAATTTTGGATGTTGGATTTCTGGCAGCTTTCTTGATGGAGAGTGATCTGTGCATGTTGGAGGTGTCATGACTATGGGTGGCTTTCGCTGCTTAGACACACCTCCTGGGACAACTTTCTCGGCATTTCCACCAGTTTCAAGGCCAACTGAGGGAGACTCGTTCTCTATCATTTTACTCAATTTAGGGACACGAGGATCTTTCTTATTTCCCTCAGGACTGGAAAGTATCCTGTTAACTATTTCACTGCTCATAGGAATTCCAGAAGCCAGGGCTTTCTCTGGGATGATCTTTTCCACCACTGCTTTGATGGACTGTCTCTTTTTCCTCTTATGGCTCATTGGATCTAAAGAGGGTGCCTTGATGGGGATAGTAATCCGGACATGACTGGAGTCATTTTCAGGATTACTGACAGAACTCACGCTCTGCCTGGCTGGTGATGCCTCTTGGGCATTATCTGCTGAGTAGCCTTCCCTTTTCCCTTCTGTGTTGTCAAATGCTTTCTGGGCATTCTTGACCCAATCCAGGTCTGCGGTTGGTATGGTTTGACTTGTCACATCTTTCTTACTGGACTTCTTCTTGCTGCCGATAGCTGGTTCTGGGGGCTCCTTTGTACCTCCTCCATCTTGATCCACCAAGGGCTGAAGCCCACTGCACTCGGCAGAGCTGCTGGGTGGGGCTGGTGAGCTATGGTTGCTTGGGGAAGGAACTACACCTCCTAAGAGCAAATCTTTGCTACTATTGGACAACTGATTCCATGTGCTCCCTGCACTGCCTTTCTTCCCCTGGGACTTTGCAAAGGAAGCCACGGGCTCAAGAGCTGGGATCTTGCTGGTGCTTGCAGTTTCTCTGCCAGAGTCTGAACTGATGAAGCAATTCTGAGTGGTGGATCCACTGTCAGAGTTGGTGGACCAGTCCATGTGGTTCTGGCTGCTGCTTTTTTGCTGGTGCTTTGGTTTTAAGGTGTCACCGGTGAAGTCCTGTGGGAGGCCTGGGTCATAATGGAGAGTTGAGTGTTTCTGTGGCCGCTCATAAGCCTAAGGGAGGGTGGAGTGGGGAGGGAAAGTAAGAGAGAAACAAAGATGAGCAAGTTGGAGTTATTTAAAATTTAATGTCAAAAGGCTTAATTATTTGGAAGTTAGAAATAAATAACTACATTAACAGCTACCTTTAATTCCAGAGTTCCTTACTGAGATTTTCTCAGTTGTAGTGGTAAAAAATATATATAACACTGGTTTTGAACATTAATAAGGATGCTTTAACCACTGTCTTTTTTTTTCCTCTAAAAAACAGGAAACTTGACCTATCTTGGTGTAATGCAATTTCAGAATAAGAACTATTTAGAGAGGAGGGGCCCTAAAGGTCATCTAGCCCTGCGGTTGTATTTTACAAATGAGGCAGCTGCAACCTGAACACTGAAGAGTCCTGCACAAGGTAGCAGATCCCGGGAGAGAATGTGAGCTTTCGGACTCCCAGTGTTCTTTTGCTGAGTTCAGCCTGCCTCTTATTTCTGTCCCCATCTTTCCTTTGCTTCCTCCCATTCCCGTTCATTTCAATTTGCACTTTATGCTAGAGTCTAACATCTCAGTACTCAAACAAGTATCACAGCTCAAAAGGAACCAATGAAACAAGTAAAACAGCACAAGCAGAGGAATTAAGGTGGGAAGTATTAAGACTACATGGGGGAAGGTGGGGCAGACAAGAGCATGGAAAAGAAGTGGAAGACGGAAAAGACACATGAAAAAATGTCCTGAGCCTTCAAATCTTTGCTGACTGTAGCATGTTACTACATTTGGGGTTTAGCACCGTATAAGGGATCCTTACGTCCCTAAATAACAAACAAACCCGTTGCCTTCAAGTCAATTCCGACTCATAGAGACCCTACAGGACAGAGTAGAACTGCCACATAGAGTTTCCAAGGAAAGGCTGGTGGATTCGAACTGCCTACCTTTTGGTTAGCAGCTGAGCTCTTAACCACTGTGCCACCAGGGCTCCAAAAGTAGGCATTTATTGCTCTCTTGAGGAAACCCTTGAATATTCTCAAAGGAACCCTGAGTCTCCTGGACAGACAGGCAGGAAAAAAAAGTCACTGTCATTCAAGATCACTCCTCTGAACTTCTTCAGCTATGTTATCCCCTACAATGACTCTGAATGAATGTCTTCAGCACCTTCCTTAAGACTGACTCTTTAGTGAGGAAAGGTGGGGCCTGGCACTTGGGGCACAATAAGATCAGTGTCTATAAAATCACAAAGGGAATGGGCAGGTGAACACATCATTTTGAAATATTAAAACTATTTTTAATATAAATATACTCACATTGTTCCAGATGGATTATAAGGCATGCTCCTAGTACAAAGAGGTATTCCTTAAAGCTTATTATAAGTCCTGTTTTATGCACAGAATAGCAAACTAACAGGATGCATTAGCCTAACATTTGTTTCAAAAGGGAAAACATTAATAAACTGAGGAAAGCTTTCAATAATATCCCTGCCGAGAGGTATATTATGATGATTGGCTTAGTGAGTTTAGGAAATATTAATCTGTAATTTTTTTTGTCTGCCTATCTATCTATCTGTCTGCTTATCAGTGTGTCTATCTATATATCAATCAATCATCTGGCATCTCCCTATCTCCCTGCCTGCCTGTCTGTTCGTCCATCCATCCGTCCGTCTGTCCATGCATCCGTCCATCATTCTATCGCTATTTGCCATTGAGGCTATAGAATTTATACTTTACTGAAAACATTTCTTACAGTCCTGGTTAAGAGTCTAAACACAGCTGGCAGAAAGCATTGAGGGCAGAATTCAGTGCAGTGATGCAACTAGGGTTTCCTCCACACTAGTTCCTGGAATCCTTTGGGTTATTTTCTGCATCCCTGACTCTTTGTGAAATCCTGTTTATATTTCCAATACTGGGCTTTTTTTCGGTTAAGTATTATGACGTAGCCTTGTCAAGCTGAACCTATAAATGCCCAGAAGAAAATTAAGAAAAAAAAATCTAATTTTTTCTTCATCTGACAGTTTATAGAAGAGACAGCCACTGTCATCAAAATATAGAGAATTAATCCTGCCACTTGAGTTTGTTTACTAGGCATTACTGCTGTGGACCTAGACTGCTATTCTGTTTTTTGGCAAAAATTGAGAAGTCTTATTCACAGCCCATATTGTTAAAAAATATTAAATATCACTTATCTCTTACGAATCAGGGCTTTGCTAATTTGTTATTAGACTTTGAACTTTAGCTGGCACTATACGTATGCTCACAGGATGACAGGTCTGGAAGAGGGCTTGAAGGCTCTTTAACAATCCGTTGCCACTGAGTAGATTCGGACTCATAGCAACCCTATAGGACAGAGTAGAACTGCCCCACAGAGTTCCCAAGACTGTAATCTTTACGGAAGCAGACTACCACATCTTTCTCCTGTGGAGCCGCTGGGTGGGTTTGACCTGCCAACCTTCTAGTTAGCAGCCAAGCGCTTAACCACTGTGCCACCAGGGCTCCTTGGAGACACTTTACGGGGACAATATAATTTATTACTTATACTAGGAAATTTTTGAGAGCTGAGGGGCTGCTTACTAAAAATTACAGTGGAACAGAAGGAGTAAATTATTGATTTTGACCTGGGCAAAACAGGATCTGTAGTCAACTGCTTTCTTCCATCCTCATCCCTTTAACCACCTCTAATTCTCTAGCTCTGGAAACTGAAGTCCACAAAGGGTTTTCATGGTAAAGACAGAGCTGAAATCTTGGTCCTTGGCTCTCACAAGTTTTTCTCTGTTGTTTTATCTTAGTTATGTGTGCCTAGCAGAGCTCCTGATGAGCTTCTTCTTCAGGGTCTCATCTCAGCTCAATCCCAGGGAGGGCCCCTACCTGAGGGAAATATGCCTATTATAAGCTTCCTTGAAACCATGTGTCTCAGCTTTGTCACCCTTATCATAGTTTTAATTTGACATCTGATTTGTGTGCTAATTGAATTCATACCCATCTCACTTTATAGCCTGTGTACATACACCATTGCGGAGGCACCAAGCACAGTGCCTGGCACATAGCAGGCACTCACTAAACATTTACTGAATGAATGAAGAGGCATGCAGTTTACTATGGATATTTATCAGTAGTGAGATTAATAACCTGTGTACTGCAACATACTGTCTGCAAACACAGCTACCCTTCCAGCCTAATTTCTTATGTCATCCCTTCTGCATGTGCCATTGTCTTCCATAAAGATGTCTATCACAGTCCTTATAATGCCATGTGGCATTTATCTGTGTACTTTTCTGTCTACCTCTCCTAGACTATAAGTACGTTGAGGTCATATACTGTCTTCTTTAGTTTCTTATCCCCGGTGCCTACCACAAACCCAAGCACCCATTAAGTTCTCAGTAAATGTTTGCTGAATGAATAAACAAATAAAAGAATGGATGAGGTGCCTGTCATCATGACAAAATATGTGGCTGCACACAAAAGACAATATACCACCATCTTTTGCACCATAATGACTCATAATGAAATTGGAGCACTGAAATGCAATAAGTGTTGAATAAAAAATGCTTCCCATATACTTAAGGGCTAAAAGGCGCTTGTAAGGTAACTCCTCTTCAATACAATTTGTACTATTAATTGTCCTCCATCTCCTGTTAATTCTTTCACTTTCCAATTAATTCTGCCTTTGAGGGAGACCATGTGACTGTCAGGGGTGGGTTTCACTCTTGCAACTGAAAGGTGGGGCCTGCTCACTTACACCCAGGGCCCGCTAGCTGACAGTAAAGCAGTTAAGCGTGCCAGTTCCCTGTGCCTCCCATCTGGATCACTGCCAGATCCCATTGTTCCGACCATTTCAGCTGCAATTTGCCCTGCTGGGAGAGTGCAGCAATCAAAGGGCAGGGTGGACAAAAGGGAAGCACAACAAAGGATCAGGAGTAATGGGGGGAAATGGTGCTTTAAACCCTTCACTCAGAGGGGCTGCAGAGCAGGGACAGAGCACCAAGAAGAAGCTCTTTCTAAGCGGTCAGGATGAACAAGGCTCTTCTCCAGCCTGGGCTGATGGCTATATCCCGTTGCATTTCACGAAATCCCATTTCTTCATCTGTCAGCCATGACATATCATATACACAGTGGTGAGGCTGTCAGTTCCAATATGTCCTTCGCTGAGAACTGAGCACTTACTCCATAAGGACAAAGGTGGACATGGTGAAAAAGCTCTAAGCTGGGGCACAACAGAAGAAGGGGAAAGACAGACTCTCCCTCCCCTCCTTCCTCAGCGAATCAGTAGCCTGGGATAAAATTCTGTATTAGGATACTTGACTCGGAGCTTTACTAGCCTAAGTAGCACATGTCTCCCGTTCCTCTTTAAATTGTGAGTTCTTGTGGGAGAAGACCAGAATCTTTTAATCTTTTCAGCCCTCAGCAGGGTTATCTCCTAAAACAGTTAGCAAGTGAGGCAACAGTCAATGATATTATTATACACTGAGAAAATGATCTGTGGAAAACTTTTAACTCCAAACTAAACTCTACTCACAACAATAGACTCACACATACCAACGACATGAGGATGGCGCTGGACCGGGCAACGTATTGTGCTTTTGTACATAAGGTGGCCATGAGTCGGAGTCTGCTCAGTGGAGACTAACAACAACGAGCAGCTCAGCATGTTTCTGGTCTGTCCCCCCGAGTCCTCTAGCCCCACAAGTTGACTGTCTGTGGGACTCGCAGCCATTTTGAAGGTGTGCCTCACTTTTATAAGCGGTTTCCAAGAACTTTGAGCTGAGGGCCAAATGTTGGTCAGGGAAACATCATTTTGAGAACACTAGAGAGATCTGTTCCTTAAAGGACGTCTTTATGGCACCAGGTTCTTCTGTAATAGGAAGTATTCTTTTGTAAAGTAGATAATTATCCCCCTCCCACAACCAATGCATAAATTATACAAATTTCAATTTTGTACGTGATAATTAAAAAAAAAAATTTTACTTTTGTTTAATTTTAAAAACAAGCATAACATGGTCATTTAAAAATGTGAAAGTACATAAAAATGGCAAG